CATGTGATATAGTAAAGCAATATCACATGAGCAATAGGCTAAGTGCAATATCACACGAGTATAAATGTGAAACTGATCTTATACGTCTTAAACAGTTCAGTAAGGAGGAAGTTAATATTGTGTTATTTTAGACACAATGTTGTCTGTTTTGCTCAATTTTGCCAACAGAAATATAAAGACAAAGCAGAACTGTTCATCTCCAAGCAACACACAGCGGCATTTCATTTCTTAATGCACGTTTTGAATGAATTGGGTGAACCATTAGGAGCGTTGGATTTGAAGCAGCGCTGCACAGACCGATCGGTGTATGACATCAAAGTACCGCGAGACGAAAGCATAAAGCATAAGGAGCGTCTGCTCTCTAATCGCTCTCGCGGTACTTTGATGTCAAACACGATCGTAACGCCATGAAATGTTCCCAGACCCAGAAATGCAGTAAGGACATCGTTAAAATAGTCCATGTGACGTGTACTTTTTGTGAGCAACGAGAACAAAAATAACTACTTTATTCAACAATTTTTCTGTCCCGCGTCACCCTGTGCCGCCATTCACGAGAGTACCACTATGCATGCACATACATTCCTCTGCTCGCAAATATGGTGCAGCGCATAAGTCGTGGTACTCTCAATAATGGTGGCACAGGATGACACAGGAGAGAAAAATTGTTGAATAAAGTAGTTATTTTTTGTTTTCTTTATGCAAAAAAAGTATTCTCATAGCGTTGTAAAATTACAGTTGAACCACTGATGTCGCATGGACTATTTTAACGATGTCCTTACTGCGTTTCTGGGTCTGGGAACATTTCAGTTGCATTGCTATCTATGCAGGGTCAGAAAGCTCTCGGATTTCATCAAAAATATCTTAATTTGTGTTCTGAATATGAACGAAGGTCTTACGGGTTTGGAACGACATGAGGGTGAGTAATTAATGACTGAATTTTCATTTTTGGGTGAACTATCTCTTTAAAGGAAAAAAAGGTGGGTGGGGGCATTGATACGGTTTCCTATGCATTGACGTTAGCCAATCATAACTGGCCGATTACTAACAAGCCTTAAAGGACCCGCCCCTTAAAAATAGGTCATTTCAGAATGAGGGTTGAAATATCCAGCTGACATTCGTTTCTGTTAATTGAGAATCTGGCACTGGAATCTGTTGTTTTTGAAATCTTGCTGAATGTTGAAAATCATGCTGAAATCACTCCTGTCCCACCCACTGTTTAAAACAAAGTTAGGCCACTGCATATATGTGTGTATACATGTATGTATTAAACATTATAAGCAAACCTCAAGGAGCATATTAAAATAAAATAAAAAATCAATGTCACAACCCTTTTAATTAAGCATTGTTTAATGGCTGTAAACATGAAGGCATGGTAACGTACTGTTTAATAGCTGTATAAAGGAAGACATCGTCCCATAGTCTCTGTTTACTTCTGTTTTCCTCTCTGTTTACTTCTGTTTTCCTCTCTGTCACTGAGTGCAACATTGATGCAAAAACACTGATGTTGTCATGAAAATACACAGGTCCAGTTTTTAGCCTGTTTTAGGCTGAGTCCATTTGACTGATCACAGATTCCTCTTTTTGGCTTTTCTGGCTGCCAACATGGGGAAAAAATCTGCATTGGCTGTATGAATGTACAACATACATTGAACCTATAGTGTGAGTCTACAGAGAGTTTAAACATGGGGGGAATGTCTAGATTTTCCTGTGTCTGATAATGTTTCCTGTGTAAGTTTAGCACTATTTAAAAAACAAGGTACACTTTCTGAGAGACCACAGCTCATCTGTGGACACATACTGCAAGACATAAGAAAAAATAATGGAATTTGAGAATATTTATGTACACAGAAATGTTAATAACAGATCTGGACCTCGAACACAGAGTCGCCACCAAACTGAGGGAAACGCTCGAAAGTACAGTAAGCAGAAATTTATTTTGAAGCAGAGATGGTGCTAATGTTTGAGAAACTGAAAATTGTTAAGATAATTTAATATAACTGTTTAGATAATTTGAATAACTGTTTTCAAGGAACAATGTGTCTATGTTTCTGCTTTTATACTTAAAGTATTAACAGAATATTTTTCTTGATTGAACATTTTACTGTATAGGTCTAGCATTTCTAGAAACTTTGTCGTTATAATAGAGCACACTTTTAAAATGCACTGTCAGTTACTTACTAAGGTCAATTTTAAATGTTAACAATCATAATAATACTTATCTATTTATAGTTAGTGAATTTTCATTAATTAATATTTGTGTGTTTTGTTCCTGTTTGTCAGGAGGAAGTAGATGTTTGGTGTTGATCACAGTGTGTTTCCAGGTGATTTGTGTTCTTCTGCTGATCAACAACATACTGCTGCACATCACCATCAGAACAGAGAGAGACCTGATAAAGATTTACAAGAACATGTTTGAAGAGTTCAAGCAAACCATCAACAGCTTACAGGACAATCACACTGATCTAATGATTGAAAAACACCAACTGCAGGACATCTTCAGCTCTTTGAGTCGGAAGAACCTGGAGACCAGAGTCGAATATCTCACTGCTGAGAAAGACCAGTTACAGAGAGATTTCGACTCTTTGAATAAGAAGGGCCCAGTTTGTTTTTTCATGTCCACTGAGTTGAAGAGCTGGTCTGAAAGCAGGCAGTACTGCAGGGATCGTGGTGCTGATCTGGTCATTATCAACACTGATGAGAAGCAGGTGAGTTTGTGTGAGTGTCCTGTAATGAATGAGAGCAATCACACTTATTCCGGTTTTTATTCACACAGAGGTTCATATCTTCATTAGTCAGTGAGAGAGTGTGGGTTGGTTTGTCTGACACAGAAAACGAGGGCATCATGAAATGGGTGGATAATTCAACACTGAAACAAGGGTAAGAGCTAAAAATCCCTGTGTATTAATTTGTTTTAGACTTTTTGATTCTCATTATAAAATCACAACCTTCAGAAAAAAGCAGAAGAGAAAACTCTTCCACAAACAACACAACCACAATTAAAGACATTTTAAATACTGTAAATTCAATTAAGAAAACTCTTCTCTCTTTTACTTTTCACTTCTGCTCCAGCTTCTGTACTACTTTAGTTTACTCTTGAAACGTGCTATTATACTGAGTATTGTTGATTCATAAATTTGTGCTCCTGAAAAACTGAACTTCTGATACATGTTGTTCAGATTTTGGCTCAAAGGTGAGCCAAACAACTACTATGAGAATGAGGACTGTATTGAACTGTATTATAAAAGAGATCAGGTGGAAATGTCACCGCTGAACAGCTGGAATGATCAACCATGCTCTGAGAAGAAAAAGGGGATTTGTGAGAAATAGGGTTCATCCCGTCTTGTGGTTTTGCTTTTATTATCTAATATAATCATTCTTATTGTAAACACATACGTTCTGATTGAGGTCCCTGCCTTTTAAAACACTGTCAGCTGATCTGAAATTTGTTAGAAGGAAAATGTCAAAATGTCATTATTTTCTTATTGCTATAATAATCTTCTGTTTCTCATGGTGTGAATTCGGGTAATCTGGGACACAAAACCTCTGATGTGTTCATGATTTGCTCTATCACAAGCAGCTCTATATTAATATGATCTTAGTTTAGCTGTTATCACGAGTGTTGAAGTGACAATCACAGTAAACTACAGAAGTCTTAAGTGTCCAGATTACCCAGATTCACCCTGTTATTCTGATATTGAGTGTTTGTGACTGCTTTTGAGTTGAATTGCTTTGTTTGAATAAAATATTCAATTAATATCCTTACCAGAGTAAACTGCATTTTTGTTTTCATTTCACACTTCATTATTGTGTACCTGCTTTATTGCTCTATTTCCTTCAGTCCAGCAGGACACAGCAGAGAGCAGGTTTATCAGACTGAACTGATCAGAGAGGAAGAGAAACATCAGAGCCAACATTTTTTTCTAACAATTTATGGATAATTTTTAGCTTTCAATCTTTAATAGGCTTGTCTGCCTCAGCTGTCTAACAGCGCTTATCAAGGTCAAAATTAAGATGGCCAATCAAATAAAAAGTCTGATGTTTAATGCATGTTGCATTTTCATATCCATGTTATAACAGTGGCGAGCAGTGACTTTTTTTAACTGGGTATGCTGAGTGCACCACTCCATCATTCCACCAAAAAATGAACTTGCACAAAATGCTCATTTCCTACCTTATTTGTAAATCAAAATCATTCTCCAATCCTTCTTTTTGAACTCATCTATGACCTTTTCATAGGGATTGTCACTGTCTATAGCTATGTCTCGGCCTCTAATTAATTATTTTATGTTCAGAGAATAGGATTAAAATCTCTCACTGGATGGTGCTACTCCAACAACAGACTATGTAAAACGCCCCAAAAATTAAAAGTAATATTGCTAAATAAAATGCTGCAACGTGATAGTGCAAACAACAATAAAATCAGAAACTGACTTTTAACTGTAAGCAACACAAGCATAAGGAAAACAAAGAAAACAATAAAATCCTCAGAATTTTTTATTAAAAATCACTTTAGTTTACTCAAGCATGTTGCCAATAAACGTATATCTTCAACATACATTATCTATGCCATAAGAAGATAGGTTTTCAATAGACTTTCAAATGTTTTATCATTTGATTTACTCTAGTTAGTTTTGCGTCAAACACAATATGATTTTCGGCAATCGAGATTTGGCAGCAGCAGTGCATTTTTCGGCTTGGGTGAGCGCTGACAGCTTACCTCGCGCATGAAACCAGCCGCATACCAGCAAACCAACGAGAACGCGCAACAATACTGACGAGTCATAGCAATAGAGCGGACGCACCAAAGCTGCTGTGAATCCGATTCCCTGGAAACTTCTGGAACCGGAACAGATTTACAAAAAATTATTGCCATTTGGTAAATAAATAATTTTACATACTTATTCACAACTTTTTATCGTGTACGTTTTAAGTTACATATCAAATGACAACGGATCGATTTATTATCATGTTTATATTAATTAGCCAGTCCACGACTCTCTCAAATGGCTTGGATATGCACAGCTTATATGGACAGAACGCCCCTGTGTTATAAGTGACACAAATTCTCAGCACTTGCATAAGATAGAGTTTGTGTGGAGCAGAATTTAATGTGAACCAGGCCACTCCGAAACACTTAAAACACTGGATTATGAGCTGCTAGTATCAATTAACACAGTGACGCGCTGTATATTTATGTAAAGTTATACCACAAGCTTTACAATTTGATAAACACACTGAATATTTTGTTAATTTATTTGATTGAAAACCATTTACCTCAGAATCTCCAGCTGACAGTTTGGACTCTTCAGTTCATCAGAAAGAAGCTTCACTCCAGAATCTTTCAGGTCATTGCTACTCAGGTCCAGTTCTCTCAGGACAGAGTGTGAGGATTGTAGAGCTGAAGACAAACTTTCACAGGACTGAGAAGTGAGATTACATCCACATAGCCTGTGTAAAGAACAAAACAAACAGCAATATAATGTGTTTACTTGTTTATCTGGTAGGGTTTGTAATCTGGAGCACAGATAACTTCCAGAAACCTTTGACTGTGGTGATACAGTTGAAGTAAACTCAGTAAGCAGTGAATAATCTGATGGTTTTAGCTTTAAGAAAGAACATAAGGCTATAACACAAAATTGAATGGCTTCCATTAGAGAACCTCTCCGTTCTTCCCAGAGGTCCACGATGAGCTCACCAAGTCGTGATGCGCCCCCTACTTGGCTTGCCTACGTACTTCCACTTCCTCCGTCCTCACATCGGTCGACGGTGCTGAAGAAAACTGGTATGAGAGACTGCCTCCCCTGGATAAGTCTGTGGCCGCGCACCTCTGCCTGCCCACGGCCATCGGATGGAAGGCGAAAGTCACCCACCTGTCCAAGCTGTGTAGGACGACTTCAGCCCTTGCTGGACGAGCTTACTCTTCGGCTGGACAAGCGGCCTCAGTGCTTCACTCCATGGTGGTCCGCCAGGTCTTTTAGGCCAAACTCCTCCGATGCATAGATGAGTCTGGCCCCGACCCAGCGATGTTCAAAGAACTGCGCAGCATGACCGACCTGGCTCTATGACCCACCAAGGCCACAGCTCAGGCGATTGGCAGGTCTATGGCCAGCCTAGTGTTGCTTCAGCGCCACTTATGGCTGAACCTTACTGAGATCAAGGAGGCGGATAAGGTCTACTTCCTCGACTCCCCGGTTTCCCCCACTTGCCTGTTCGGACCTGCAGTCGAGGGTATCGCGGAGTGCCTCACTGCTGCACAGAAGTTGTCCCAAGTGATGCAACACTTCTTACCCAAGCGCTCAAGCTCTGCAGCTGCCTCCAGTCGCCTCAAGTCTGCGCCGACTCAGCAGCCAGCTAAGCCTGCACCTGCAACGGTCCAGCCAACTTCAAAGCCTGAGCCTCGACAGCGCTCCCACTCGGCTAGACGCTATCCGTTTCCCAAGCACCAGGGACCCCGGCCCAAGGTAACGCTGGACCCGGCGTCTCTGGCGTCGAGTGGCTTATCGATACATGGTCCTTCCCTTCGGACTGTCCCTGGCTCCTTGCACTTTTACGAAGTGCATGGATACGGCTCTTTCCTCTCTGAGACAGATGAGAATTCACATTCTAAATTACCTTGATGACTAGCTCGTCTTAGCCCAGTCAGAGACCAAACTGTTATCTCACAGATCCCTCCTTCTCAGCCACTTAGAATGCTTGGGACTCAGGGTCATCTTTGCCAAGAGCGCACTATCCCCCAGCCAACGGATATCATTCCTTGGGGCGATTTTCGACTTTCCCGAGACTTTCCCGGTGGATAGTTGATGCTATTACGCTAGCAGACTCTTCCTTGGGCCTACAATGCCCCATTGGAGTATGAACCCACTTCACCAGAGGTGTGGCCTCTTCTTGTCTAGCGATGTGTCTATCGCAGAAATCTGTGTGGCAGCCGGCTTGAAATCACCATCCATATTTGCTAGGTTTTACAACCTGGATGTCCCTGTCTTACAGGCCAGGGTCCTTTCTGCATAATCGGCATGCACCCGCCAGAAAGCGGGATTAGCTCTGTGTATGGTTTGGCCGTAACACGCTCAAACTTGCCAGAACTGCTACTTCTTGTACGCTCTCGGCCCTACCTAGTGCCGAGGCTGTACGAGTCTTACTTGGAACGATTAACCAGGCTGGGCGTGACCTCTGTGAGTTAAGCCCCTTGCCACATGAAGAGCTTACCCTATTATACTTGTCCCTCTGAACCCCTCAGGTGCTTAAGGAAAGTTCACATACTAGTCGTTCCTTTCCATAGCATGGCATGATTGAACTGGTTCCTATAGCATCTAGCGACGCAGTAAGAGTGCAGTATCGAAAGGGAACGTACTCGGTTACTAATGTAAACTCGGTTCCCTGAGATATGGGAACGAGTATCAGTATCGTCGCTTCAGTCAAAGTAACCTGAGGATCCTATGCCAGAGGGCCCTGCCCATATTGGTGGGCTTCGTGGCCATAGGTCATAGCTTTGCTGACTCAACACTGGTTTGTTTTTATTTTCACTGCACGAACCAATGGCCATGCAGTTACACTGCATTATTAAAAAAGGCTTGGAGTATCGGATTTTCCAAAAAGGTCCAAAGGGAAAAAAAACCAGCTGGCAAACATGCATAGACAATAACTGACCATGAACTAAAGAAACCAAGATGTATAAATGCACAAGATAATGAAGAACCGGTAACAAACTAATCAACAACTATGGAAACATATGAAAACATAATTAGAAACCAAGGAAACAAAAGACACAGGAAATAAACAAAGGAAATCAGAAATAAGATGAAACAGGATGAAAATAAAATAAAAATAAGAGTCCCACAACAGAAACAGAACATCAACCTGACAACACCTGGGGTCTCATTTATAAAACTCTCCGTAGATTTCATCCTAAAAGTGTACGTAGGCACAAAAGCTAGATTTTGCGTACGCTCAAAAGTTTTCAGATTTATAAAACCATGCGTACGGAAGATTGTGCGTACGTGCATCTCCACCCCGACTCCTCCCTGAAATCACCATATATGCAGCTTACAACGCCTAGTTTTACTATGCATAACCTCATCTGCATATCATTTCTATGCATATTCCCATCCATGTACTTTTGACGGTGTTAAACATGGTGTCACAAGACATTAAGGAAATATGAGATACGGACTATAAATGCCATTTATTGCTAAAAATTATCCGGTATCCTTGTTAAAATATATTGTTTTAGAATAAATATATCAAAATATCCATAAAAAACTGTTTAAAATAGTTCTCAGAAAATATTTTAGAATAGAGTTGATCTCATTCATTTCCACTGGCTCAATAATATTTCAATTGTTTTTAAAAAATCAAATTAAATTAAATTAACTGTTCTGTCATGCAAGATATGTCTACAAATGTTTTAACCAAACTTTAGCACTTCAGTATTTTGTATGCATACCTTAAGGTATGTCACTGAT